TTCATTTTTTTTTTTTTTGGTACCGGAGATCGAACTCGGGTCCTTACGCTTGCGTAGCAGGCAGCGAAACCACTGAGCTAAATCCCCAGCCCTCTAAATTCATTGATTTAGAAATTTCTATTATATTGCTAGGTAATAAAATCAGACTGTACAACAGTACTATTTTATGATCCCCTGTATATAAAACACAAACACGAGAGAGTGTATATATGAAGGATATGTACTGAAAAATTAACAGTGCTGATTTCAAGTGAATGTTACTGTCTTTATAATTATTTTGTAAAGTTATTTTTATTTGAGGTTTAAAAGGGTCAAATCCCCAGTAGGAATGAATTCTATAGCAAGAGAATAGTGGTTGTTAATTAAAATTTATCATTACATCACTACCCTTAAATATTTAACTTTTTAGTGATAATGTAATTTTCAGGTTGATGTAATGAATTGATTGATGTACAGTAGTGAATTATTCCCTTTATCACTTTATTATTCCCTTATTCACTTGTGTTTAGACTGGAAATTGAAGTTTATCCTATTATAGAAACATTAACTTTAAATGCTAGAATAGGGGCCGGGGATTTAGCTCAGTGGTTCTGCCGCCTGCCTCGCAAGTGCAAGGACCTGAGTTTGATCCCCGGTACCAAAAAAAAAAAAAAAAAAATGCTAGAATATATACCGTGTCATGGTGACTACCAATTCAAATTCATTTTTTTAATGTATCAGTATCTTTTTACACTTAATCTTAGCCAAAATGCTGAGAAACGATATATCAGTATCTTTTTAAAGAACAATTCTATATACCCTGCTTATCTGGTTGTTATCACTGTAAATTGTGTCCTAACTTTGTGCTTTGAAACTAGTTTTGTCATGTATGTGTGTTATATTTAATATGGCTCTTGTGAGGAAAATGAATTAAACTCATATTTGTAAGTCTTGTCATTAAATAAGTTCTTAAATTCTATGAGTATATTTTAAGGTGCTTGGTCTCACATTTACTAGTGATATCTTTCTTTCATGCTAATACAGTAGCCTGTATTTGAAAGGCACACTTTAAAATGTGTGCTTTTAAAAATAAAGGATAGACTTTTTTTTTTCCTCCACAAATTGTTGTGAACCTCTCTGCCTTTTTTGATTTGTTTTGTTTTGTTTGTTGCAGTACTGGGGATTGAGCCCAGGGTCTTCACATTGAGCTACATTTTCCTCCCTCCCTCCTTCCCTCACCTTCCATTTAACCTTCACTAGGTTGTACAGGCTGCCCTTGAACTTGTGATCCAGGTGTGTGCCACTATACCTGTCAGCTATTCTCCATGCTATACTTTGGTTTGTTTGAGTGTCTGTCTCTGTCCTAAGCGGTCATTGCTCTAAATTTCTTTCTTTTGGAATATTTTAAAATTTACTCTAAAAACAATAGTGAAATCATAGAAGTATAGCTTTTATTTCACATGCTGTTTTTGCCTGCACTTTATATGTTGGACTCTAAATGGTATGAAATTTGAATAAACAATAACTCAGTGCTGAAATTAAGCACATAACTGTTCTTAATGTTAACTTTTTCCCCAAATAAAATCATTTTAAAGGGGAAGTTAAAATTTTAGTTTTGAAGCTGGGTGTGCTGACACACTCCTATAATACCAGAATTTGGGAAGCTGAAGCAGGAGGATTGCTGCAAGTTTGGGGCCAACCTGGGCTACATAATGAGTTTAAGACTAGCCTGAACTACACAATGAGACCCTGTCTCAAAACAACAACAAACAAACAAACAAATAAATAAAATTTTTAATTGTGATGTTTAAACATCTAAGGTTTTATGTGAGCTATCTTATTTTTAATTCCTCCTTTACCTGTGTTAGGGACTTAGGGTCAGAACCATCCTTGTTTTGTTAGAGGAATGTGTCTGTGGATTTTTGACAATGAGCCTTTTACTTCTGCTTTTGTGTAATATGTTTTGATTCCTCAGCTGGTAGCTTTGTTCTCCTTATCCTCTTTTCCTCCTTTTCACTTTCCAAATTTATCTCCTGTTTGCTTCCTCTGTGAAACCTTGCCTAACTTTCCTTGACCCAAGTGTATTATTTCCATCGCAACTTACCTGCTGATATCAGCATTTATTGTATTGTATTATAAGTGCTTGTTTTCCCATCTGTCTATCTCATTAAAGTCTAAGCTTCTGGAGAGATGGAATTTGAGCATATTATTTTTTTCTAGCAGTAATCCCTCCTTTATAGTAAATGTTCAATAAATCTTTGGATGAATGGGTATAGGCATGAGGATAATGAATCATTTGGTCACTGGTTGGGGGAAATGTATATCTATGTCAAATAAAGTTGCATTGTTTGGCTTTTCTACAAGATATCCCTGTAACTCTGTCAGTATTAATCAAAGAGAAGTTTACTAAAAGAGGGTTTCTTTTTACAGTAATGAGAAAGTAAATAGAATTGTCAGATAAATAGCAGTGGAGATACTCTTGCATTTGCATTTTTCTTCAGAGTCTTAGGTGTTGCAAAATAGAACATTGTAATTCTGAAATAATCTTACATAACTTCTACGTGTACATAAATTCAAATTGAATTTTGAGTAGGTGGCATAATTTGAATAAAGGTTTATTTTTAAATAGATTAATTTAGAAATATTTCCTACTCCATTTGTGCTCGTATAACAAAACTCTTGAGACTGGATAATTTAAAAATAATAAATAGAAATTTATTTTTCACATTTCTGGAGGCTGTCAAGTCCACGGTCAGGGCACTGGCAGTTTCTGTATCTGGTGAGGGCTGGCTCTGTCTGCTTTCCAGATGACAGTTTGAACTCTGAGTCCTCACATGGTAGAAGGAACAGAAGGATAAGAGGGTACCAATGTCATGTCATTACATAGTGGATGAGCAAAAGGGCCCTAAGCTAGTTTCCTTTAATCCCTTCACAAGGTACCAACCCATTTGTGAAGGTGGAGCCCTAATGATTTAATCACTTCTCAAAGGCCTCACCTCTTAAAACCACCACAGTAGAGATTAAGTTTTAACATGAATTTTGGAGGGGACACAGTCAAACCTTTGCAGTACCTAAGTAAGATCTATTATAAATCAAATCTTTGAAATATCTACTAGAGTACAATATAAACTTTTCTAAGGAGTATATAATAAATATTAGATTGTCGTGTAATATATATTTAAACCATTTTAACAAATTAACCAACTTGTTTCATGACCTAACATATTAGCTAATAGGCAATGAAGTGAAATGAATTGGTTTTTACCCAGAGTTCCTTCTTTCTATTTGCCCTACAATAGTGATTCTCTGTAGAGAGCAGTTTGGTATCCCATCTTCCCCATTATCTGGAGACATTTTTTGTCACAACTGGGAGGGCCATGTGCTACTGGCATCAAGTGAGTAGATGCCAGAGATGCTGCTAAACATTTTGTTTTACTGTACTCAGAATACCTTCCAACAGTAAAAAATTATCTGGCCCAAAGTGTCAGTAGTGTCAGGTTGACATATCCTGTTTTTGCTATTGAGGTCTGTAGGGCTTTACAGTTTTGGAGTTACTGTGGGTAATTTGACTCTTGCTGTCAAAAAAGGAACTTAACAGAAAGATTAATTTTGAGTTTACCATAATGAACTTGAAATAAATTGTCCTGTATGACACACTAGAGAAAAGTTTCTTGTGTCTAATTCACGACCCTGAGCAGCCATAAACTCACTGATGACCCTTGTACTACTTTAAGTTTTCTTTGGAGGAGCTTTGTGTGTGACCTTCATGGCAATTTAAAGGTATTTAATGTTATTGTGCAATGAGATCTGGCTATCAAATCTTGAAGTCTTTTCAAAGTAGTGGCAACAACAAATGTAAAGCTCCCAAAGAGCCACCCTGACAGCTTCATCTACAGCTCCATGAATGTATCAGAGAATGAAACAGCTGGGCCACTGTGGCTTTGTCTTCCTTTTCTTTGGTGCTCAGTATTGTGGCCTGTTCATACATCCTAAGTTAACCACTGAAAGAGCTGATGGAGACAGGGATTGATAAAATCCTGTGCCATGAATAGTTTTTCATCTTTTCCCTGACAGCAGGACATTTCCCTGATGTTGTTTTATAATCAGTACATTTGTCAGAATCTGAGAAATCAATATTGGGACATTTCTGTTAACTATAGTCTACACTTCATTCAGATTTCACCAACTCCCCATTAATGTCTTCTCTCTGTCCAGGATCCAGTCCAGGGTACCACACTGTTTCCAGTTATTCTGTCCCCAGATTCCTTTGATTTATGACAGTTTCTGAGACTTTCTTGTTCTTTGATATTGGTAATCTTGAGTGGTACTGGTCAGGAATCCTAGTCCTCAGACTAGGGTTGTATCTCATGGTTAGATGGGTTTTTGGAAATAATGCCATGTGGTTGAAGTGCCCTCCTTATGGCATCATATTAAAACTGCATGATAGCCACATGACATCACTAGTGATTTTAATATGAATGGTTGTGGTTGTATTTTCTAGTTCTGCACTGTAGTTATTATTTTTCCCATTCTATATTGGTTGATAAAAGTAGGTTACTTGGTTTAGCCCACCCTCAAAGTAGGGGAAATTAAGCTGTACCTTTTGAAGAAAGGAAAATCTAGTATATATTAAGTAGAATTCTTGTGTAAAATTTGTCTCTTCTCTCCATTTAAAAAGTTTTTTAATCATTTGTTTTATATCAGTATGGATTCATGAATACTTATACTTTGTGTTATATCTCAATATTTATTCTGTTGCTCAAATTACTTTAGCTTTGGTCATTGGAAGTTCTTCATGATGGCTCCTATATATACATCCCCCCCTCCCCCAATTGAACTCAGGACCTTGTGCTTGCCAGCCAGGTGTGGTGCCACTGAGCTCAATCCCTGGCCCTCCTATGCCTTTTTAATATGCCACATCCTTTAGTTTTCTACTGTTACAGGGAAGTAATTCTCAACCTGTTAGACATGTGGAGTTTGTGTCTCAAGACACTGAAGAATGGACTCAAACACAAAGGAGGTGAAGAGTAGGAAAGTTATATTAAGAGAAAGCTCCTGAGAGGCAAGAGGGGTCCCAAAAGTGGATTGCTGCTGAGGCTGTTTGTCTAGGGGCTTTTTATACAGCAAAACCACATCACGGGTTACCTTGGGTCAAACTATAATCAATTTATAGGATTACAAGTACAATCACTTAACTCATAGAGATCTAATAGAAAAACAAGGTACCTAGCAAGGGTATGTAGCTCGGAGATGTCAGGCATTTCTGGAAGGGGTAGGAGTGAGGATCAGAATATCCTGATCATCTTTCTGTGTGTTTGTTATATTGTTTCTATGTGTTTGTTATATTGTTTAGGCTTTTGGACCATACAGTGCTAGTTCCAGTACTGCTTTGGACTGTCATTTATCTCTGGAGAGACTTTCTCTCAACTCAGCCCTGGACCACTGGCCTGGTGGTTTGCTCATCTCTATTCTAACTCTGTATTGTGCCTGGATCCTTTCTAACTGCCTATTAGTCTCTACCTGACTTAACTATCTCCAATACTACTTCCTTACTTTCTGTTCCTACAAGATATTCTAGGCTTGTCTTGTATTTTCCCTGCCTCAGCCATAGAATCTTCCATTTCTCCAAGAAACCCTAGCACTTTTTACCAGAGAATGGTATTTAGAAACTAAGAACTGAATGCTGAGCATAGTTATTGCTACCATAGTGTCATTACTTCTAGGCCCTCTCAGTGAGGCAGAACAAGACAATATGTATATAACAACTAAGCCAAAATAAACATGTATCAGTTATTTCTGTGTCTATTAAGCTTAGTGTGAATTCATACTGATGTCTTAACCATCCTTTAGAGAATTTGTTCCAACCTTTCTTGCTTAAGTGTAACTTCCTTCTCCAACAGTGTGAAATCTGGTTTCCACCATCTATCACCCACTTATTTATATATTCAACCATATATATATATATATATACACACACACACACACACTGAACATTTTCATAATTGTTAACCTGTATTCCAGTGAAAAGCAGTTTTATCAACTGGAACACAGTAATTATGTACAGGTCCTTTTTTGCTTTACTCTTGCAGTTTCATGTCAAAACACCATTTTCCAGTGTTACTAGAGGAGCACCTTTATCCCCCAACTCCTTTCAGTGCAGTTATGTCAGACATCTGTAGTATAATTAGATTCATTTATTGTAATAGACATTTTATCCAAGGATACCCCATGTCCTATTTGATGTTTCTTTTTCACATTAATGTTTAATGGATTTGCACACAATATAAAGTTCACTCTTGGGCCGTGGATTTAGCTCAGTGGTTCCACCACCTAGCTTGCAACTGCAGGGACCCAAGTTCGATCCCTGATACCAAAAAAAGTTCACTCTTGTGGTATCCAGTTCTGTGGATTTTGGTATCTGCTACACAGGTGCTATACAGAATTGTTCTTTACCCTAAAGTTCTCCCTTGTGGAAACCACTAAACTGGTTTTGGTCCCTGTGGCTTCTTCAGAATGTTCTATGAATGGAATCATACAATAATTAGTCTTTGGGATTGGATTCTTTCACTTTTAAGTTACATTGATAATCCATTTGTTTGCTTTGTGCATCAACAGTTTGTCTCTTTTTATTGCTGAGTAGTAGTGAAATGTGTAAATGTACCACAGTTTTTCATTCTTCTTTTGAAATGAATCCTGGTTGCTACCAGTTTGGGGTAATCATGAACAAACTGCTGTAAACATTCCTGTACAGGTATTTGTCTGAACATCCAATTTCAGATCACTCAGAAACACTTAAAAATGTAATTACTGGCTTATATATGTTTATGTTTAACTATCAAAAACAGCCAGATCATTTTCTAAAGTAGAGGAAACACTTCATTCCTACCAGCAACAAAGGAGAGTTCCTTTTGCTCTGCATCCTTCCCAGCATTTGTTAGCCATTCTTGTGGGTGTGTGCTAATATCTCATATTTTGTTTTTTAAACAAAAATGTTTATGAAAGAACAGACAATACAAACATAGAAACAAACAATCCCATCTCATTTATATAACATAGATGACCCCACCTTCTCTATATAACATATAAACCATCCCTCCTCATTTTTATAAATATATAAATGACCCACTTATAAGGGACCATTCAGGCCTTGTAAGTGAAAAAAACCCTTCTGCCTTATTTAGCATAAAACCTACTGCTTAGACTTTACCAAAAAATTTCCTCCTTCTCATAATTTGTTATGTAAGGTTATATCTATTTCTAGATTCTGAAGTTTCTGCATTTCAGTGCTTGCACAACCCATTTAAAAATTATGAATGCTGCTATTTCATGTTCTGATTAAAAACTCACAAGCAAAACACAGAAAACAAACCAAACAAACCACACATCATATGGATGATCCAAATGGAAAGGTTAATGAGCTGTAATAGTTTTGCAACATCAAAAGCAGCAAAGACCCTGAATATAATTTACTTAAGTCATAAATACTGAGATTGAAATAAGCACGTATAAATCACATTTGGGCTCCATGAGCTGAAAGCTCTCCATAAATACATAAAAGTGTGTATCAAGTTCAAAACGAGCGAGGTCGCTGGCATTTTAGTACTCCCACTCATCGGATTTCAGGTCGAGATAGCTGAGGATGTTCTGGGCCAGCTTCACAGCCTGTTTCCTGGCAGCCTTACACCTCTCCTCACCCTGCAGGTCCACGGCATCCAGGGCTAGCAGCTGCTTGGTCAGCAGCTCCTCCAGCCGGATGTAGTTCTTATCAGCTCGGTTTCCATCGAACGAGAGGACCTCTCCCTGGATCTCCGACAGGCTTCCAAGCACATCCCAGACTGCCTGGTGTGAGGGGTGCTCCTCACAGGCAAATTGCTTCCTTTTCTCCAGTGCCTCCTTTAGGTCGATGTGAGTGATCAGGGTTTGCACTTCAATCACAGCCCTTCTCCTGGCTTCCCGGATGCAGGGGTTTTTTTCAAGACTTACCTCATCCAGCTGTCCAATCAAACCCTGCAGTTCTGTCTTGGAGCTCAGGTACAATTCAGGAGGGTTCTGAACTTGAAGAAATTCATTTTTTATTTCTCTCATCCTCTTGAGGACCTTTTCTATTTTCAAAATGGAATGGTTCTGTCTCAGGTCAAAAGCATGTGTAGTATCGGCTTCCTTCTCTAAATCCAAATACTTCAGTAATTTGTTGATGTCTTCCACCACCTCCCTCCGATAGTTTCTGATTTCTGTGTGCCCGCACACATCTAGAGCGTCCAGATTGGCAGTCAGCCCGGAGAACACGCAGGACAAGTGCCTGCAAGTCTCACTACTGTCCACACCCATCAGGAGCGCCACGACCACACCTCTGGCCTTGTTCACTTCACACATCACAGAGTTGATCTTGGCGACAGAGGGGTGTGCATCTTCAGAAAGTGGCAGGGAAGGCTGCTTTTTCACGCAGTCTTCGACAATCTCTTGCACGGCACAGATTTTGGTTAGTGTGTAATACCTTGCTTTCCGTAAAGAGATCTTGCCTCCGGTTTTAACATGGGTCAGCCTCAGAATGATATCCTGGATGCCTTCCTTAATGTCATCAGTTATGCAGCTGCCTCCACTGTAAAAGGGAACGATCTTCTCTCTCACGAGGGCCTGTGCTTCATTGAAGATGTTCTGTATTTCGATCCGATGCGGGTGGTTTGCATTCTGCTCCAACTCTTTGAGAAGGCGTTCTGTCTCCTGCGCCGCCCTTTTCCTAGCTTGCTGAATGTCCTCCTTTCCTTCGGTATCTACAGAGTCTATTTCAAACAGTTGCTTTGTTAGAAACCGCTCCAGTTTCTTGTAATTCTTGTCACTTGACAGACCACTGAAACTGATTACTTGCTGTTCTATACTTTTTACTTCCTTTTGGATTTCCTGAAGTCTAGTGATGGAAGGATGTTGGTTTCCCATATCCATACTTTGGTGGTGTTCAGTTGCACAAGCACTCCCATTAAGCCGGAAGGCTGGCTCAGCACAGGTTCCACGGTCCGGGGTTTCCATCCAACGGCTCCCTCGAGGCGGACGGTCCGCTGAGTCAGGCCTGCGGGCGTCCGGGCCCGGCGCTCGCCTGCTCCCTGCTCCCCGCGCGCCCGAGTCTGGCGCGCGCCCTTCCCAGGCGGCGGCGGCGGCGCCGGAGCGCGGCCCCTCGCGGCCTCTTCCGCGCGTCCCGTTCCGGCTGGCACTGACCCGGGCGGTGGCGAAGGGGCCGGCGGCGCGGCAGCAACTCCGTGCGCCCCGGGCGTGAGGCCGGCCCGCCTGACCTCACAATGAGCGCCGGGCGGAGGGCGCCGGCGGGAGGGGGTCCGCGGGCAGCCCCGCGCCCGGAAGGCCGCGTCGCGCTCACCTGCGTCTCCCCGCTATCGCGCTCCGCCGCCTCCACTTCCGCAGCGCCGCGGTCGCCGGCCCCGCCCCCGGCCCACGGGCTTCAGACCCCGGGAATCCCGGCCGGGGCCCGCGGTTACTTTGCGCCGCGCCGCCCAGGCCGCCGGCGGCACCGCCGGGAGAGCGCACGGTCGGCCGCGCTCTCTCATATTTTTAATTTGTATTTTTTGATTGACACATGATGGTTAGCATCTTTTGTGTCTCTTTTTGCTATACATGTTTTTTGGTGAAGTGCTTTTCAGATCTCTTGTCCACTTTAAAACTGAGATTGTGTTTCCTTATTCTGGACTAGCTCCGAGGGATGCAGGGCGATTGCATTTTACTTAATCTTGTATACCTGCTCAAAGACCAGACATGTTACATTTTCACAAGTAAAATAATGTCAGTTCTTAGAAGAACATTTAAAACCTCTTTTACTGTCAGAAGTTGTATTGTTTCTGGGGTTGTAAGAAATGTTAAAGTTGATTGAGTGGAATAGCTTGTACAATGCAGAAGTACTTTTCTTAAAATTATTATTGCCTGCTTTATTTTGTTTGTTCTTCTCCAGTCTGCTCTTTAAAAAAAAATTGAGCTAATTCCCCTTTGGGGAAAGGGAATAAAGTGATTATTACGAGTAAAAGTTGCCGGATTAAAGATCTAAATATTAAAACAGAAACACTAAACCGGCTGGAAGAGAGGTTAGGTAGAATTCTTGAAGCCATTGGTGTAGGAAAAGATTTTATGAACAAAACCTCAGTTGCCCGTGAACTAGCACAATCAACAAGTGGGATCTCTTCTTACTACAAAGGTTCTGCATAGCAAGAGGAACCACCAACAGTGTGAAGAGACAACTTACAATGTGGGAAAAAATTTACACCAGCTGTTCCTCAGACAAAGGTCTATCTAGAATATATAAAGAACTTTAAAAAAAACCCAGACCTCCCAAATTTAAAGACCCAATCCAAAAATGGGCATCTGAAATGAACAGACATTTCTCAGACAAAGAAGTAGAAATAGCAAATAAACATATGAAAAAATGTTGAACATCACTGGTCATTCGAGAGATGCAAATGAAAACGAGGCTGAGATTCCACCTCACCCCAGAAAGAATGGCTGCTGTCATGAAAAAAACCAATAACAAATGCTGGTAGGGCTGTGGGGAAAGAGGAACCCTACTCCACTGCTGGTGGGAGTGTAGACTGGTGCAACCACTGTGGAAATCAGTATGAAAATACCTCAAGAACTAGGATCGGAGGTCCCATTTGACCCAGCTATTCCTCAGCTGGGGATCTTCCCCAAAGAATTAAAAGAATCATACCACAGTACTATATGTGCTCCCATGTTCATAGCAGCACAGTTTGTGATAGGTAAAGCTTGGAAACAGTCCAGTTGCCCATCAACTGGAGACTGGATAAAGAAAATGTGGTTTTTAAAATAAAATGGAGTATTACTCAGCCATAAAGAATGAGAAACTAGAGCCATTTATAGCTAAATGGATGCACATTGAGGTGATACTCTTAAGTGAAATAAATAGGACACGCATGTGTAAATACCGAATAGTTTCTCTAGTGTGAGAAACTGAAAGTGTAAATAAGGACTAAAAGGTATAATAGATAATGTGAAATAGGAAGAAAAGGGGCAAGTGGGAAGTGGGAAGGTGAAGTGGGAGGGATAGGGGAAAAGAAAGGGAATGGAATTAATATGAGAAAAAAAATGGAAACAAAGCCTTTGTTGAAGGAAGGGCAGGGGAATGGGGAAAAAATAAGAACTAAGATGGATTATGTACAGGTGCAAATTTCCAATGATGAATGTCATTATATTGTATACCTTAAATGTACCAATGACATTGATAAAAAAATAAAAATTGCCTACAGTTCTCTTACGCAAGACTAATCACTGTTAACATTTTGTTATATTTCCTTAGGTTTTTAAATATACATATTATTTAGAAGATGTATACAATTGTTGGTTGTTAAATTGTTATCAGATGATATATATCGTTTTTTCTATCTTCTCTCCTGTATCATGAGTAAATGTACTGAAGTTTTTTGGTTTGTTTTTTTTTTTTGGTACTGGGGATCAAACTCTGGTCCTTGCGCTTGCACAGCAGGGGGCGAAACCACTGAGCTAAATCCCCGGCCCCAAGGGTTTTTTTGTTTTTTGGAGACAGGGTCACACTGTGTAGTTCAGGCTAGCCTTGAACTGTGTAGCCCATGCTGGCCTTGAACTTGCAGCAATTCTGCCTCAGCCTCCCTAATGCTGAGATTACAGGCATGCACCACCACACCTGGCCGAGTACATATGATTTTAAATTACTGCAAAAGTTTGAATATTACACAGGGTCACAGTTCTTTCCAATTTTTTGTTGTAAATATGGTGAATTTCTTTTTATGTATATTTTTGGAGACTGTCAAAATTAGTTCTATCAAAAATTAGTTCTTTTCTGAGCACCTGGAAGGAAGCTCCCCCGCTGCCATCCCAAGCTCCTAGGGCAGAGAAGGTGAGCTGCACGGGTGCCAGAAGCAACCCCCCCCCCATGGAAATGAGAAGACATGTAAACAAGCCTTAGAAAAACAGACTTCTGGATCACTTACAGCAACCCCAAAGGGAAACGAGATGGAACAATCTGATACTCAACCACCTGGACTCTCTGAACTGGCAACAAAAGATGATCTGGAAA